GGAGGCTTTAAGTCCAAGTTCAAAGTGCCAGGCTCTAGGGGCTGGGTGAAAGCCACTCAACCTTGGGGTCCAGCTCTGCCTTCTGCTTCTGGCCCACTGGAGCTAGAGGTGTTTCTTCACTTAAACAGCTGCTGAGGCTTACAAACCCAAGGTTTACAAGTAAAAAGGCACAGTCTCGATGTTACCAAACCACACGGCAGACCGTTAATTTAAGTCCATTGTAAGTCCCAAGGTTGGCAGAGCATGGCAAGCTGCTGAACAACGACATGGCTACATGCAGGGTCCAAATGTGCCATAAACTTGAGACTATCCCCAAGGCTTCTCCATATATATGGTAAGCAGACCACAGGCAACTACTCAGCTGCTCACAGTAGATTCCACTGTGGAGTTGATTATCAGTCTCATCATGGGGAATGCTATATCCAGCTGCCCAGCCACTCAACCAGGCCTAGCCAAGTTGACACACAAAGTTAATTATCACAGTAGCTCTGTAAACTTTCAGCTAAATGACAATAAAAAGTTTTTTTTTTTTTTTTTTTTTTTAAAAAAGAAGAGTAGTGATAGCAGTTGTAGCCGATCTTGTTAGAGACAAGCAAATGAACATAACCAAATATTGTAAAAAATCAAGGAAAGGTTTATATATGGAAGGAAACTTCCTTGGTTGGTTACTAAGGGTGGGAAGGGAGGAGAGGAAACACTGCAAAAATTTAAAAAACAAGTAGTTTTAGACAGGACACTAAGCATCAATATAAAAACCCACTGCAGTTGATTCTGACTCATAGTGACCCCCATTGGGTTTCTAAGGCTGTAAATCTTTACAGAAGTAGATTGTCTCATCTTCCTCCCACAGAGCAGCTGGTGAGTTTAAACCAGTGACTTTCTGTTTAGCCACTAAATGCCTTACCCACTATGCCACCAGAGCTCCTTTAGAGTCTATGTAGGAAAACTATAAGGTTTCTTTCTAATGAAAATAGTGGTTCTGTTGTACCATCATGATCATTGTTGTGTGCCCCCCGCCCCCCCCAGCAAGGAACATTTGATATTATTTGGAGACCTTTTTGGTTGCTCTGTAACCAAGGGTGGGCTGGGGTGGTGGTACTGGTGTCTAGCAGATAGAGGCCAGGGATGCTGCTAAATAGCCTTTAATGCACAGGCTGTCACTCACTACAAAGAGTTATCTGACCTGAAATGTTTATGGTGCTGCGGTTGAGAAACCAGCTAGCACTTATGTATTATTTGCTGTGTGCAAGACATTGTTCTAAGTGGCTTATAGGTATTAACTTGCTTAATCCTCCCAACCCTGTGAAATAGCTGTTATTACCTTCATTTGACAGATGGGGAAGTAGGGGCACAAAGAGGTTATATAACTGGACCAAGTTCCCCCTCGTAGTTAGTCAGGAGCAGGAGGAACAAGGATTGAAACTCTGGCAGTCAGATCCTGAGTTCTTTTTTTTTTTTTTTTTTTTTAGGATTTGACACAGGTAAGAGCAGAAAATTATGTACACT